TAAATATGAGTTTGTGTGATGACTGGCTGATTTACTGACTGACTTACTGACTGATTGACTTACTGACTTAGACTGACTTGACTTGATTTGACCTGACCTGACCTGACCTGACCTGACCTGACCTGACCTGACCTGACCTGACCTGACCTGACCTGACCTGACCTGACTGACCTGACTTGACTTGACTTGACTTATTTAGGCACACTCCAGTACAACCATTGACTTCAGTACCAGAACCTCTACCATCCACCTCAGCCCAGTAGGTCCACAGCATAACTCTCCACTCTCCACAAACACCAGCACCCACAATTTAAAGTAAGAAATACTATTATTTCTGTTGCATTTGTAATCTTAAGCGTATAAACAACATAATACAGTGGACCCCCACCTTACGATATTAATCCGTTCCTGAGAGCTCATCGTATGCCGAAATTATTGTAAGATGAATTAATTTTCCCCATAAGAAATAATGGAAATCAAATTAATCCGTGCAAGACACCACAAAGTATGAAAAAAAATTTTTGTTTTACCACATGACATATTAATTTTAATACACAAACTGACACGTACCCCTGTTGAAGATCTGGTGATCATTGATGGGTTGGGAGGAGGGGAGAGTGTGGAAGTTGTTAATGTTTAGAAGGGGAATCCCGTTTCCATTAGGAGCACGTCCTTTTCCGGGGTTACTTCCCTTCTTATAATGCCACTAGGACCAGCTTGAGAGTCACTGGACCTCTTTCGCACAACATATCTGTCCATAGAGCTTTGTACCTCTCGTTCCTTTATGATTAGTCTAAAGTGGTTCACAACATTGTCATTGTAATAGTCACCAGCATGGCTTGCAATAGCTGTGTTAGGGTGATTTTCATCCATAAAGGTTTGCACTTCAAGCCACTTTGCACACATTTCCTTAATCTTTGAAGTAGGCAACTTCTTCAATTTCTCTCTCCCCTCCTCCAAAGCAGTTTCCTCAGGTCTGGCCTCTTGCTGTTGAAGATAATCTTGCAGCTCATCAGTGGTTAGTTCTTCATTGTCCTCCTCCACTAACTCTTCCACATCCTCCCCACTAACCTCCAACCCCAAGGACTTCCCCAATGCCACAATTGATTCCACAACTGGCCTGTGCTTCTCAGGGTTAGCCTCAAATCCTTCAAAATCCCTTTTGTCTACACATTCTGGCCAGTTTCTTCCAAGCAGAGTTCAAGGTCCTCTTAGTCACTCCCAAGCCTTACCTATAAGGTTTACACAACTGAGGATACTAAAGTGATCTTTCCAAAACTCTCTTAGAGTCAATCAAGTGTCTGAGGTCACTTCAAAGCACTTTTGAAACAGCTTTTGTGTAGAGGTTTTTGAAGTTTGAAATGACCTGCTAGTCCATGGGCTGCAGGAGAGGAGTGGTATTAGGAGGCAAAAACTTGACCTTAATGAAGCTCATGTCCCCAGAAAGTTGCTCTCCCAAGTCTGAGGGATGACCAGGAGCATTGTCTAATACCAGGAGGCACTTAAGGTCCAGTTTATTTTCCAGGAGGTAATTTTTTCACAGTGGGGGCAAATGCATGGTGTAACCAGTCATAGAAAAAGTCCCTAGTGACCCATGCCTTAGTGTTTGCCCTGCACAGCACACACAAATTAGCCTTGAGGACATTGTTTTGCCTGAACACCGGGAGTTTCAGGGTGATACACCAATAAAGGCTTCATTTTGCAATCACCACTAGCATTAGCACACATCAAGAGAGTAAGCCTGTCTTTCATAGGCTTATGTCCTGGGAGTGCCTTTTCCTTCTGAGTAATGTAGGTCCTGTTTGGCATTTTCTTCCAAAACAGGCCTGTTTCTTCACAATTAAACACTTGTTCAGGTTTCAGTCCTTCACTGTCTATGTACTCCTTGAATTCCTTTACATATTTTTCAGCCACTTTTTGGTCCAAACTGGCAGCCTCACCATGCCTTATCACACTTTGTATGCCACTATGATTCTTAAATCTCTCAAACCAACCTTTGCTGGCCTTAAATTCACTCACATCACCACTAGTTGCAGGCATTTTTCTAATTAAATCGTCATGCAACTTCCTAGCCTTTTCACATATGATTGCTTGAGAAATGCCATCTCCTGCTATCTGTTTTTCGTTTATCCACACCAATAACAGTGTCTCAACATCTTCGAGTACTTACGATCTCATTTTTGAAAACAAAGTTGCACCTTCTGCAAGAACAGCTTCCTTGATTGCCGTTTTGTTGGGCACGATAGTAGCGATTGTTGATTGGGGTTTGGTATACAACCTGGCCAGCTCCGAGACACGCTTTCCACTTTCGTACTTAGCAATTACAGTGGACCCCCGGTTAACGATATTTTTTCACTCCAGAAGTATGTTTCAGGTGCCAGTGCTGACCGAATTTGTTCCCATAAGGAATATTGTGAAGTACATTAGTCCATTTCAGACCCGCAAACATACACGTACAAATGCACTTACATAAATACCCTTACATAATTGGTCGCATTCGGAGGTGATCGTTATGCGGGGGTCCACTGTATCTCTCTCTTCATTTCCATAGTAATTTTCACCTTTTTTACCGCACGGTTGGCACTAGAAGCTTTCTTGGGGCCCATGATGACTTATTTTGCAGGTACAATCACTAAAAATGCTGTGATAATATGAAATGTACCGATTGTATGCGTGGATGCGACCGCACTGGCTGGCTTGTAAACACTGGCACCCACGGGACAGCTGAGGAGCGCTCAGGCCACACGTGGGATGCGTCCCGGACAAATCGCATGAGGCGAGGCAAAGTTTTTGCATTAAAATGTATTGTATGGCGGATTTAATGTAACATGATGCCATCGTAAGGTGCAGGTCCATTGTGCATCACGACAGTGAGCTACAATTACTTTTTTTTTTTCTTTTCTTCAACAAATCGGCCGTCTCCCACCGAGGCAGGGTGACCCAAAAAGAAAGAAAAAATCCCCATAAAGAAAATACTTTCATCATCATTCAACACTTTCACCTCACACATAATCACTGTTTTTGCAGAGGTGCTCAGAACACAACAGTTTAGAAGCATATGTGTATAAAGATACACAACATATCCCTCCAAACTGCTAATATCCCAATTACATATTCACTTTTACATATTCACTTTTATTTTTGTAAGATCTGTTTGTCTAAAAAAAAATTGTTTGGCCTTTTGGGGGCTCCCAGGAACATAACCCTATTTTTCAGATAAGTTCTTCAGTTTGTCTTACATGGGTTTAACTACCGCGGCATTTTCAGGAACCTAACTACCGTGTTAAACGACGATCTACCGTAGATCTTATTCTTGTCTGTTTCCGCTTATCTCCATGGGGAAGTGGATCAAAATTCTTCCTCCGTAAACCATGCGTGTCATAAGAGGCAATTAGAATGATGAGAGCAAGGGGCTAGTAACCCCTTCTCTTGTATACATTACTAAAGTTAAAAAGAGAAACTTTTGTTTGTCTTTTTGGGCCACTCTACTTCGGTGAGATATGGCCAGTTTGTTGAAAGTAGTAGTATATAATACTAGGTAGTAGGTTGGTAGAAAGGAACTGCCCTGGGAGGTACTACTGTCCTACCAAGTGAGTGTAAAATCGATAGCCTGAAATTGTTTTGCATGATGGTAGGATTGCTGGTGTTTTTTTTCTGTCTCATAAACATGCAAACGATTTTGATAAAGAAAAATTGGATATCACATTGAAGGGAGGGAGTATAGAATAAGTGAATGTTTTCAGATATTTAGGAGTTGACTTGTCAACAGACGGGTTTATGAATGATGAGGTTAACCATAGAATTGATGAAGGAAAAAAGGTGATTGGTGTGCTGAGGTATCTGTGGAGACAAAAAACTTTATCCATGGAGACAAAGAAGGGAATATACGAGAGTATATTCCCTTCTTTCTTCTGCTGCAGTGAGGAGGAGCCTGGAGGCAGTGGAGATGTTGTGTCTAATGGAAATGTGTGGTGTAAATATTATGCAGAGAATTCATAGTATGGAAATTAGGAGGAGGTGTGGAGTTAATAACAGTATTAATCAGAGGACTGAAGAGGGGCTGTTGAGGTGGTTTGGTCATTTAGAGAGAATGGAACAAAGAATGACTTGGAAAGCATATAAATCTGTAGGGGAAGGAAGGCGGAGTAGGGGTCGTCCTCGAAAAGGGTTGTGGGAGGGGGTAAAGGAGGCTTTGTGGGCGAGGGGTTTGGACTTCCAGCCAGCGTGCTGAGCATGTTAGATAGGAATGAATGTAGGCAAATGGTTTTTGGGACCTGGCGAGCTGTTGGAGTGTGTGTAGGGTAATATTTTGTGAAGGGAATTAGGGAAACCGGTTAGCCGGACTTGAGTCCTGGAAATGAGAAGTGCAGTGCCTACACTTTTAAAGAAGGGTTTGGGATATTGACAGTTTGGAGGGACGTGTAAACTGTCATTTCTGAGCACCTCTGCAAAAACAGTGATTATGTATGAGTGATGGTGAAAAATTGAATGATGAAAGTTTTTTTCTTTTTAGGGTTTTCTTTGTTTTTGGGTCACCCTGCCTCAGTGGGAGATGGCCGATGTGTTAAAAAACAAACAAACAAAAAAATACAGGAGATTTCAGGTAAGTCTTGCTACTTCTACTTACACTTAGGTCACACTACACATGCTGGTACATATACAGTATATACACACACCCCTCTGCGTTTTCTTCTATTTTCTTACTAGTTCTTGTTCTTGTTTATTTCCTCTTATGTCCATGGGGTAGTGGAACAGAATTCTTCCTCTGTAAGCCATGCGTGTCGTAAGAGGCTACTAAAATGCCAGGAGCAAGATACTAGTAACACCTTCTCCTGTATACATTACTAATGTTAAAATGAGAAACTTTTGTTTTCCTTTTTGGGCCACTATGCTTCAGTGTGATATGGCCACTTTGTTTAAGGAGGAAAGTAGTGACAGGTTTTTGGAAAAAGACAAAATGCAAACACTACAATATTTTATTGGAATTGTTTCAGTCCTAGGATCTGGTCACTCCAGGTGTGTGGTGTGTGTTGTATACTACCTATACAGAACAATACTGTATGTACTTTATGTTTATAATCAGTATACTCTTTATCCAACAGGGTTCAAAGGGGTTCATATGCTTGATTCCAGAATTAAGCTACATGACTGGTCTGACAGATGACATGCGCTCTGACTTTCGTGTGATGAAAGACATTGCACAGCACACTCGGCTCACACCAACAGTGCGGCAAGCATCTCTACGTGCGTTTGTAAAAAATGTCAATAGTAAGTGGATGGCCTTTCACTAAAAGAATAATTTAAGCTATGCTTTTGCTTTTTAAAAATTACTATGAATGCATCTTTTTAAACCTTTCAGGTCGGCAGGCCCTCTCCTAAACTTGTTCTCAGGGTCGGAAATTTTTCAAAAAAAAAAAAAAAAAAAAAAAATTTTTTTCTTATGAAATGATAAAGAATCTTTTCCCGATCATAATAACACCAAAAGTATGAAATTTGAAGGAAAACTTACGGAATTATGCTCTTGCGAAGTTACCAGTCTTGACGATGTTTACGCATCGGCAATTTCACCCACTTTGAGTTCTATTTTCGGCCAATTCCAATGTACCAGTCGACAAAAATCATAAATATTTCGCTGGAGCTCCATTTTTTCTATCGAATGAGTACAAGAAACCACCCATTTACTGATTTCATCTATCCAGTAAGGTGGTCAGAAATTGGCAATTTTGCCAATTTCACACAAATTTCAAAAGATCCCAATTTCCAAATAGGGTCCAGAATAAACAAGACAGACATTCCTGGCACTACAATAAAAAATTTTCTGTTCATTAGTCACATCCCCAGGCCTCTCTTACATTTCTTTTGCTTTCCACTTTGAATTTTTATTCTCACAAAAAATAGAAGATTTGCTGTTATGCAGAGTACTGCATTAGTGTAGAAATGGCTTATATAATATCAGCGCACTTGTGAAAGAATATCAGACTCGCCAGTTGACGTGTATTGGACGTGTGGCATGATTTGTTTACTTTTGAACTTTGGCAAAAATTGAACATTTCTGCTACTTTGAGCTCAATTTCGAGGTACTTTTCATTTTGAAATCAGTCAATATCACCTCAATTTCTGTAACATGTCTTCCATTCTATAAAATGAGACCAGGAAAACTAGAATACAACCATAAATAGCATATGAAAATACACTGCAAAGTCGCTGTTTTAAAGCAAAAACCCGGTAGGAGTTTTTTTTTTCTCATGCACTGTGTGCTGCAGGATTTTTTTTATACTGTGCACACAGACCACATTATATACTTTATATACTTTTATACTGTGCACACTGGAGGGAGTAGTAGGTAAATTTGGGGTGCCAGGGGTAAATGTAAATGGGGAGCCTTTAATTGAGCTATGTGTAGAAAGAGATTTGGTAATAAGTAATACATATTTTATGAAAAAGAGGATAAATAAATATACAAGGTATGATGTAGCACGTAATGAAAGTAGTTTGTTAGATTATGTATTTGTGGATAAAAGGTTAATGGGTAGGCTCCAGGATGTACATGTTTATAGAGGGGCAACTGATATATCGGATCATTATTTAGTTATAGCTACAGTTAGAGTAAGAGGTAGATGGGACAAGAGGAAGGTGGCAACAACAAGTAGGAGGGAAGTGAAAGTGTATAAACTAAGGGAGGAGGAAGTTCGGGTGAGATATAAGCGACTATTGGCAGAAAGGTGGGCTAGTGCAAAGATGAGTAGTGGGGGGGTTGAAGAGGGTTGGATGAGTTTTAAAAATGCAGTATTAGAATGTGGGGCAGAAGTTTGTGGTTATAGGAGGGTGGGGGCAGGAGGAAAGAGGAGTGATTGGTGGAATGATGAAGTAAAGGGTGTGATAAAAGAGAAAAAGTTAGCTTATGAGAGGTTTTTACAAAGCAGAAGTGTTATAAGAAGAGCAGAGTATTTATTTTTATTATCACACTGGCCGATTCCCACCAAGGCAGGGTGGCCCGAAAAAGAAAAACTTTCACCATCATTCATTCCATCACTGTCTTGCCAGAAGGGTGCTTTACACTACAGTTTTTAAACTGCAACATTAACACCCCTCCTTCAGAGTGCAGGCACTGTACTTCCCATCTCCAGGACTCAAGTCCGGCCTGCCGGTTTCCCTGAATCCCTTCATAAATGTTACTTTGCTCACACTCCAACAGCACGTCAAGTATTAAAAACCATTTGTCTCCATTCACTCCTATCAAACACGCTCACGCATGCCTGCTGGAAGTCCAAGCCCCTCGCACACAAAACCTCCTTTACCCCCTCCCTCCAACCCTTCCTAGGCCGAGCAGAGTATATAGAGAGTAAAAGAAAGGTGAAGAGAGTGGTGAGAGAGTGCAAAAGGAGAGCAGATGATAGAGTGGGAGAGGCACTGTCAAGAAATTTTAATGAAAATAAGAAAAAATTTTGGAGTGAGTTAAACAAGTTAAGAAAGCCTAGGGAAAGTATGGATTTGTCAGTTAAAAACAGAGTAGGGGAATTAGTAGATGGGGAGAGGGAGGTGTTAGGTAGATGGCGAGAATATTTTGAGGAACTTTTAAATGTTGAGGAAGAAGGGAGGCGGTAATTTCATGCACTGGCCAGGGAGGTATACCATCTTTTAGGAGTGAAGAAGAGCAGAACGTAAGTGTGGGGGAGGTACGTGAGGCATTACGGAGAATGAAAGGGGGTAAAGCAGCTGGAACTGATGGGATCATGACAGAAATGTTAAAAGCAGGGGGGGATATAGTGTTGGAGTGGTTGGTACTTTTGTTTAATGTATGAAAGAGGGGAAGGTACCTAGGGATTGGTGGAGAGCATGTATAGTCCCTTTATATAAAGGGAAGGGGGACAAAAGAGATTGTAAATATTATAGAGGAATAAGTTTATTGAGTATAACAGGAAAAGTGTACAGTAGGGTTATTATTGAAAGAATTAGAGGTAAGACAGAATGTAGGATTGCAGATGAGCAAGGAGGCTTCAGAGTGGGTAGGGGATGTGTAGATCAAGTGTTTTCATTGAAGCATATATGTGAACAGTATTTAGATAAAGGTAGGGAAGTTTTTATTGCATTTATGGATTTAGAAAATGCATATGATAGAGTGGATAGGAGAGCAATGTGGCAGATGTTGCAAGTATATGTAATAGGTGGTAAGTTTGTAAATGCTGTAAAGAGTTTTTATGAGGATAGTGAGGATCAGGTTAGGGTGTGTAGAAGAGAGGGAGACTACTTCCCTGTAAAAGTAGGTCTTAGACAGGGATGTGTAATGTTACCATTGTTGTTTAATATATTTATAGATGGGGTTGTAAAAGAAGTAAATGCTATTGTGTTTGGGAGAGGGGTGGGATTAAATTATGGGAAATCAAATACAAAATGGGAATTGACACAGTTGCTTTTTGCTGATGATTCTAAAGAAAAATTGCCAAGGTTAGTGGATGAGTTTGGAAGTGTGTGTAAAGGTAGAAAGTTGAAAGTGAACACAGAAAAGAGTAAGGTGATGAGGGTATCAAATGATTTAGATAAAGAAAAATTGGATATCAAATTGGGGAGGAGGAGTAAGGAAGAAGTGAATGTTTTCAGATATTTGGGAGTTGACATGTTGGCGGATGGATTTATGAAGGATGAGGTTAATCATAGAATTGATGAAGGAAAAAAGGTGAGTGGTGCATTGAGGTATATGTGGAGTCAAAAAATGTTACCTATGGAGGCAAAGAAGGGAATGTATGAAAGCATAGTAGTACCAACACTCTTATATGGGTGTGAAGCTTGGGTTGTGAATGCAGCAGCAAGGAGGCGGTTGGAGGCAGTGGAGATGTCCTGTCTAAGGGCAATGCGTGGTGTAAATATTATGCAGAAAATTCGGAGGGTGGAAATTAGGAGAAGGTGTGGAGTTAAGAAAAGTATTAGTCAGAGGATTGAGGAGGGGTTATTGAGGTGGTTTGGTCATTTAGTGAGAATGGATCAAAGTAGAATGACATGGAGAGCATTTAAATGTGTAGGAGAAGGAAGGTGGGGTAGGGGTCGTCCTCGAAAAGGTTAGAAGGAAGGGGTAAGGGAGGTTTTGTGGGCGAGAGGCTTGGACTTCCAGCAGGTGTGCATGAGCGTGTTCGATAGGAGTGAACGGAGACGAATGGTATTTGGGACCTGACGATCTGTTGGAGTGTGAGCAGGGTAATATTTGAAGGGATTCAGGGAAACCGGTTATTTTTATATAGCCGGACTTGAGTCCTTTGAAATGGGAAGTACAATACCTGCACTCTAAAGGAGGGGTTTTGGTATATTAGCAGTTTGGAGGGATATGTTGTGTATCTTTATATATATATGCTTCTAAACTGTTGTGCTCTGAGCACCTCTGCAAAAACAGTGATTGTGTGAGTGAGGTGAAAGTGTTGAATGATGATGAAAGTATTTTCTTTTTGGGGATTTTCTTTCTTTTTGGGTCACCCTGCCTTGGTGGGAGACGGCCGACTTGTTAAAAAAAAAAAAAAAAAAAAAAAAAAAAAAAAAAAAAAAAAAAAAACACTGACCACATAGACCCATTGTTTCATATGTAGGCCTACCAGCATTTTCTTGCTATATTTGAAGGTGCTAGAATTTATGTGTGCTAGTATGGCACCAACCTTGGCGTGCAAGCCATACTAGTACGGCACCAACTCTGAAAGTGTTAAGAATCTCAGTTCATCGCTTTCCATGAATATAATAAAAATAGAGGTTTCCTTCACTTCGTGGAAGTTTACTTTATTACAGTGTCTTGGTGGTTATACAGTGCATTATTTTCTCTAGTTTAATGCAAACTTAGTTTTCACAGATTTTCTTACTGTTTAATTTTTGAAGCCCATGTAAGACTGGAGGTCTTCAGTTCACAAATGCAATGTCAGTTAATTAAAGTTCGCAAGTGCTGAGCTCGACCAAATAAAGTTCTAATGCTATACCAGATCGTTTTACAACTGCTGAGCCACAGTATCAACACATTTGAAATATTACCATCCTATGTGCTACTATTTTCTGTACAAACAAATCATATGTTAGCTTGAGACCTAGGGTTGCCATTCTTTTGTAAGTTAGGTTCTCTTGTATTGGCTCTTGTCACTTTGCTTGTACACAGTTTCAGCTTTGGAAGTAAATGTAGACTTATGGACTACTAGCAGCAACAGCTTGTTTGAGCAAGTAGCCACCTAGGAAGCCTGTCTTCTGGCCAGGCTGCAAGAGTAGAAGAGTTCTCACTTTTGTAAGGAAGTGAGAAGATATGATGAATGGCCCT